ATAGGGTGTTGATGTCATTAGACCACACCCCTTCTCATTACAGAGATGCACATCACCTAATATGCTTAATTGGTAGTAGGCTTTCCAGCCTATACAGCTTGGAGTAAGACAACATGCATGAAGAGGATGATGTGGACAAAATACTCATTTGCCTAATAATTCTGCACTCCCTGTATAATGTGTCATTTTAATGTGTAGCAGTCCATCTTAATGTTTGTACTTCGTGTTTTCATTTAAACACACAGGTCTCAAGGACACAATCAGGTCTCCATCATGTGTCACAAAAGAGGTAATAAAATGCAACGTGTTTCAACATTAGATCCATATATTAGGGTAAGTTGAGTAAATATGGAAATTTAAGGTTATGGAATTTGCATTTTTAATATGCCCATGATGCAGTTATTTATTATTAGTAGTATTATTAGAAGAAACTAACATAGTAAAGTAGCTACAGATTGTTATTTGCAATTGTATCCTAATGCTGGACTAAAAAAAAAGCTTGTAAAGGGGTTTAGCTGCGTCACTACACAGCATGTTGTACAGTAGCAGCACAGACCGCTGCAGGTCACTGACAGCAGTAATGGCAACAGCACAGCCCTCAGATATGCAATATATCTCCCTCCATAAATTCAACACCATGCATTTATGGAGGGAGGTGCACATGGTGTCACGTTTTAAACAGCCGTATTCCTCATTATGGTTCAACCCTTCTGTCTGTGTTGGGAAAACTGTTTACTGGAAACAATGGCTTACAAGGGGAAAACACAATACAGGTGATTTATGTACAGAAATCATGGTTAGAACTAGAGGAAAATAAGATGGTACACAGATTTTACTTTCTTGCATCTAGGTTTCTACTTACCAATAACATGCTGGAAATGTCAAGCAGAACCAGAAAGCTTTATACAATCTGGGACTCTAAATGCATTTTCCCATTTTGGAAAATAGCATTACAACGTTACAACAGTGTCACCAGGAATATGCCTACTGGGGGACCAACAGTAATGCCTAATATTTCCAAACACCAGAGTACAGCGATCCAGGTACAAGGCTGATATGAACATGCTGCTGGCCAGGCTAACTGACGATACCGAAAACTGTCTTGCAGGGACGATCTGACGCCATGAAGGAACGCAGATTCTGAGAAACACTTTTTTTTTTTTGTCACGGTTTTGTTCCCTCTGAGGACGTATGTAAAAACATGAAGCATTTCTTTTATATTATTATTTTGGTATGATATGTGCTGACCTGGCTGCTGTATGTTGTAAGTTTTGTAATTAGTTTGTTTGTTATAAAAATTTAAAGGATAAATGACATAAAGGTTGCAGCTGGGGGAATAACTTGAGTGACAGCTTCAGCTTTTCTTGCTGGGCTAACAACTTGACACAGGGCCACTTTCTTTATTGGTTAGTATTATTGGTTAGTATTATTGGTTAGTATTATTGGTTAGTACCAAGTGCCTTTTCAGGGTCAAATTCAAGCACTTTTTAAGCACTTTCAAGGTCCATTTTCAAGCTTTTCCAGCCCCCTCCCTCCCGCCAAAAAAAAAAAAGAATGCATGCTTCAATTCGCATCACCTCAGTAAGACCGTGTGAACATTAAAACAAATCATCCTAGGTGAACTTAAACACCTTTGTTCCCCTTTTGTTAAGACATAGAAAAACGTACAACACAAATATACTGCAAAAGGAAACGGTCGCCTTATCGTGTCTAAACTCAAAATGCACATTTCACTTAAAAATTAAGATGTGAACAAATCAACTTGTTAGATTCTCCTGTTGGAAAACAAAAAAGAAAGAAGTCTTCTCATCAGATATTGATGCTTCTTTCCTGTGTGACAAGAAATAGGAGACAGATATTTGTTTGTTTTTTAAGTTAATTCCCAATAAAACCACATGGATCACTCATATTACCATTATTTCAAATACTCCAAAAAGCTGGTGTCCAGGGTATAACTGGCCGTTTTTGACTACTTTTGATTTGTCCTCTATATTTCACCTTTAAAAACGGTTTATCTTGCCAATCTGTTATTTTCTCATTTTGACATAATGTGTCAGCACAATTTATCTAAATTCAGACAAAATGTAAAATACGAGTAGAAAGTGATATTTTTGACTGTAAAAACCACAAACATGTTTAACGAATCATTTTCATAACTTGAAATGAAAATAGAAATTTTACATTTTTAAAAAATACGCACAAGTTTTGCAAACAACAAAGTTATGTGGTTATATAGAACAATCAAGTGTTCTGCATCAAATAAGAAGGCACAGAAATTATTTATGCAACTCCAAAAAACAGTTTGTGTCACTATAACACATGAGAACAGCTCAGGGATAAACCTGCAGCTGTGTCACTCAGCGTTTACACTGCAGTCTGCCTTTGGTGGCTTTAAGGCAGCAACTGTTCACTAGTAGAACTGACACACAAAACAAAACAACGACTACACACTAACTACACAAGACAACACACTAACCTGAGACTCTAAACACGGCGAACGTCACAAACCTCTCAGTATCAAAACTCTCTCTCTCGCTCTCTCTCACTCCTAAAGCTTCCGTCTCCTCCCAAACAACCAGATGCCACATGTTGCCATATCATTTTTTGATTGGTCAACATGGTACATTTTTCCACCAATAGGGAAGGAGTGTTTTTTCCTGTTCTGTTTTCACTCAGAAGCAAAGCGTGTTTGCTAGCGCTCTCCTTAGAAAACGCTGTTTTTATCGTTTCTTCCGGAGTAAACAGCTGTTTTATTCAGAAAAAAACAAACAAACACCGGTTTTACGTGGCCTATCAACACAGTTTAAACACTGGTATGTAGTTTGAAGTCCGCACGTTGACCCAAGTTGAAATGGAGGCTTTGGCTCCGTCAACCCCAGAGGGTTAATCAGAAAGCCTAAGTTAGCTAGTTATGCATCGGGCTAATGTTAAGTAACGTTAGCTAAGTTCACAGCGCTGCCATACTGCATCACACTCAGTGCGTTTCAATCGTTTCTCCAGCGAGTTTGATAGCAAAATAATAATAATCATAATTTTAAAAAATAGCATGTGTAACGTACACGTACTGGAAAATTATTTACTAGGACTCACCTATCATGCTGGAGAGCGCAAACTCCGCCATTGTTGTTTTCCATCGAACACTCATTAAAACAGCGGCCTACAGGTATGTTAGCGCACTCATCCCCGACTGTCCGAGGGAGGGGCGGGGTCACACGTTGAAACAGACGTAAGGCAGCCAGGCGGGGAAATTTTTCTTTTACATTTTGTGACCCATTTTATTTTTATATCTGATAAGAAAACTATTCAATCAGCTAGTCATTTGTGGTGAATGAAATACAGCTACACTTTCAAGCACTTTTAAGCACCACATCTGAAATTCAAGCACTTTTCAAATCCTTGAAAATTCAATTATGCATTTTCAAGGATTTCAAGCACCCGTACGAACCCTGTCAAACCCATTCCCAAACACCAGTAATGAGAGAAACTGTTCCAGTGGTGAATAATGTGAAATGCTTCGCGTTCTACTGCTTAGAAACTTTTAAAAGTCAGCACAGTCATGGCCCAGTATAAGCCCAGTACAAGCCCAGTAGACGGTTGTGATCTTCTAAGAGGAAATTTATTTGCAACAGGAACAGACTCGGTTGAAACGGTGACCTTGTGTCTAGCACTGCTGTCATGAAAGGGGAACAAGAAGTGTTTCAGTTTCTGCTTTAAACGCTCTCACAAGCTCAACGATAAATTTAAACCTACACTTTTGAAGCATTTTATTAAATGTACAAGGAGAAAATTCGACAAATACAGGCAGAAACACTTATATAGTATGTTCCATAAAAATTTGTCACTTTTTAAGGGGAACATTTTTTTTCAAGAAACCTAAATCGTGTGACTTGCAGCTGATTAAAGGAAGTTTTTGTACAAAAATCAAAGACTTTGTTTCTAAACGTTTGAGATATTAAATATAGGATGGCAGTACTAACTGTTGGTGGGTGAGAAGGATTGAATAATACTAATAAAAAATGTCACGACACTACATATCATACATTTTACAACAGACTTGAAAGAATTCAAAGAACATGAAGCTTTGACTTTGAAGTTAAGGTAACCTGATGACAAACACAGTAAAACTAGAAATCATTTTTCAGTTTGCAATTTACACGATCTCGTCCGCTTTAGTTCGGATGAGGTTTGTGTGATAGAGCCAAGAGGCCCCAGAAGGCTGTAAGCTTCATGTATTTGGAATTACAGCCGCAGCTAACAGCATTCCCCAGCACTTATTACTCTGCCATGTATTTTCATTTAGGTTATTGTTGTCCATCACATCAATGTCCACCGCCCATTTTTACCTGGTCATCTAATTGTCAAAAGCCCAGAGAATTAATTTTGTTCCAAAACAGTTGCAGATATAATTTTTGTTAATCGACAAAGCAGTGAGCTACATATAATATTCTTTTTTATGCAGATGATGCGTTTCCAACTCTTCTATAACTCCTGTACTCTGCCTTTATAGAGGTTTTCACTGGAACCTCATTCTCAGCATTCATTACTCGCAGAGCTATTTCCAAATAGAATATTTTCATTTAAGCATTTTCTAGCTGCTACAGCTTTAAACTAGGAAGACCCTAAATGATTGTTTTTAAAGAATCTTGTAGCATGTATTATTATATGAGCTTACCTCTGTTAGCTTCCTGGTACACCTGCACCTTGCCAAGCTCCACCCCTAAACGCCTGAGAAAGAAAATGACAAAACAACAGTTAATAAGTTTGTTTAAAGTTGAAACAAAAAAATGAATTTTTAAAAAACAACCCACAACCAAATATATGTATAACATTTAAAAAATGTACTATTCATTTGGAAATGCAATAAGAAGCAGTGTTTACATCCTGGTGCACAGTGAGGTATTTAGTGTCCACTAAAGCAGCCAAACACTGTTTGTTCTGTAAACACATGCAGACTCAGATGTCCTTGTGCAGTCCAGGTTTGGACTCTGTGCATTTAAAGTACGTTTGGACTGTAGGAATTTTCGGTTTACACAGAACATGATGAAACACTAACAAAGCAACCACACACGCTCTGTTAAAATGAGGCTACACACCCTTTACCCATTATTAGTTTAGCTCTGCAGACAGCTGTCTTTTGAGTCTTTTATCTCCCTTTTAATTAGAAAACGGTTCCTTTTTTAAAGGCTTATGCAATGATGGGAGTTAAGCGTATTTGATGAGCTGGTGACAGGGAAGGTGGGCAGGACAATCATCCTGTTGTTTCGGGAAGGTGGCTAAAAACAGAAAAGACTGCACATAAGGACTGCGTATGTAGGCTCATGCTATCAATAAACACACATGTTAAACAGAAGAAGCATTTAAAGCTCCAGGTGGATCTCCAGAACTGGGAATATAAGGTCATCCTTAATAATCATTTATTTTGGCACTCTGGGGTAATACAATTTATGTAGACGAGAAGACTCTGAACATGAACCTCATAAAGAACACACCTGAGTTACAGAAAGAAACCTTATGCATCGACATTGATCATTTTCACTGTTTAAACACACACTGTGAGAGGGGCATGTTTAATCTGACACCAAGCTGCAGGAAACTGTCATTATTAACCGTTACTGTTGTTGAGTGATTTTGCTAGCTTTGAGGAAGCAAGAGCAAAACATGTCTTCTTGACACATGTGAGTTTAAATGTCCCTTTTTTACCATATGAGACAAAAGAAAGGAGACCGAGATTCTCCTGGAGGACGTGTATGGGCTTTGACTCTAAAATAACCCGTCTTGCTTTGTGTGTCTGAGTGCATGTCTAAGAACTTACTCTGCAATCCTCTTGCCCAGCTCACGGCTCGAGGGGTGCGAGTTGGCGGTGAAGATGACCAGGCCACCCTTGGTGTGGTTCATGTCTCTGGGGTCTCGGCCGCTGCTCTCCCCACACTCAGGCAGTGGATCCCTGGGCACCCACGCTGCACTGAGCCCTTCCTGTAACAAAAGAGGAGGGCGGTTACTTCCTTTAAAAAAAAAGGTCCTCCAAAAAATGGAAACAGGAAACAGATTTGGTTTAGTCCTTAAAGACGTACAGTCAAAATGCCACCTGTAAACTTAATGACTGCAACATCATTTAACACCTCAGTTTGTAACATTGATTACAAGCTTAACATGTAAACTTTTTATGAAATCTAGAAGGAAAATGAAAAATAGACAGAAAAAATAATGGAATAAATCCTAGATTTAAAACTAAAACGTTGTCGTTTTATGATGTCAAGTCCAGGAACCATTTTTCTTCTAAATGGTTTAGTGGTCACTGCCAGACTTCCCTCTTTTTAAATGATCGAGAACAGTGCTTAGTTTCAATGCACAGCAATCACCACTCTCACAATTACTGAAGTCTGACACTCACTCTGCAAACTAATGTTCACGGATTTAAACAAGTTTCTGGTAACAGCAGCCTCCACCACTGAGTGACAGCACTGTAGGATTCATGGTAGAATCCTTTTTTCCACAATATCATGAATAAAATGCATATTTGTTAAAACAACATTGGCTCTCACAAAGAATCATGTGATCCTGCAGAAAGCAGATACCACAGCTTTGCAATGCAAGCCCCGTTTACCCAGTCACACAAAGGTCCTTTTTCTATGCCCGTCTCACATGTGCAATTCAATTCAATTTATTTATAGAGCGCCAAATCACAACAAGTCGCCTCAAGGCGTTTTATATTGTAAGGTAGACCCTACAATAATACATTTAGAGAAAAACCCCAATACTCACATGACCCCCAATGAGCAAGCACTTTGGCGACAGTGGGAAGGAAAAACTCCCTTTTAACAGGAAGAAACCTCTGGCAGAAGCAGGCGGGGGGGCAATCTGAACCGGTTGCAGCCGGCCGTATGTGCACACATACTCACACTCCAGTAGTTGCACTGGAAGCAACTGGGGGTTCATTATCTTGCCCAAGGATATTTTGACATCCAGACTTGGTAGCGACTGGTAGACAACGATCTACCCCCCAAACCACGGCCGCTCCAAATCATTAGCCAATGAGCAAGTGCTTTCATCCATACAGTCTGCTTGGTTTTGTTTGTTTTTGTTTTACAACCAACACGCATCTCAAGAACAGGACTTCAGAAACCAATGGCTGACATCACAGAAGTTGCATCCATGTTTTATAACAACTATGATCCAAATATATGCAACTCCCGCCAAGTTAAACCATTTCAATAAAAATATACCAAACATCTAAATGTACAAAGTCTAGAAGACTAACATTATGTAACAAAGTAACATTTAATGATTTCAAAATTTTGGTTCCCCAAAACACAATTATTACAGAAGGAAGAAAAAAAACAGAAAAAGACCCAGTGTCCCACTCACTGGATAAAACAAACAATGGCAAACAGCCCAGGAGAAAGAGAAAGAGAAATATGTGGCCAATGTGGTGGCTGCAGCAGCATTTAGGACAGTAAATGGTAACCATGCAGTTTTTTGTGTGTACTTTGAATTGATTTAAATTTGAGTATCAGATTACCACGTGTGGGACTGGGACAGGTGGTTTGTTGTTCATTTTATTTGATTGTCTTTGTTTATGTTAAAATATGATAAATATATTTTCTTTTTAAGGTAAGAATTAAACAAAAAGGGAATAAGCTTTTATTATGGGGGGGCTCCTTATCTTTTTTTTTTTTTTTTTTAAACACAACACTATCCACATCTACTCGGATGCCACTTTTAGCTTAAAAATTCATGCTTCTCTTCACAGTGCCGTACACGTCTGTCTTGCTGAATAAAAGGACTTGCATATGTATTAGAAACTAAAAAAGGTTATAGTTTGGAGTATATGCAGCAGGAAAGGCTTTTAAACAGGTTTGCATGTGCATGCACATTACAACTGTAGAACAATAGAGAAAGCAAAGAGACTGGGAAACAATGAAGTGTCAATGCAAACCCAAATGTATGCGACCACTCTATTAACCATTTATTTAAATACAAAACACTGTTTTGAGAGGTGCACGACGTTTAATAAGGTACCTCTATAGCATGTAATAGGTGGTATAAACAGTACAAACAGTCACGACATTAGCTTCCTCGTGTTGCTAAGCTAGTCGGATTTCACAGTGCATGATGCCATTTGTTATTCTGGAATGAATACGTTAAGAAGTCAAGCTGCGTGGTGAAACTGTGTCTGCCATGACTATTATACACAAGAAAGTAGAGGAATAACAGCCCATTCAACCCCAGCTACCACCAAAATGTATAGCTGTAACATCATGATATAGCTTTAGGCTAGCCTGTGTTACCATAAGTACTAACGCGATAGCTCAACACATAATCTTGGCAAGCCAAAGCTCCTGACTGCGCGAGTTGATTCTTCACGCGTCGGAAAGCAAGCCTGTCTGTACGGTAGGCAGAAAACACAACCTTTTTTTTTTTAATCCAATAAATGAAGCAAAACTAACACGACTCCTCACCAGCTTGTGTGTTAGATCCGGTTACAACCTGCAACCAACAGTATTTGATTGTACGAGCCTCCGTCGGGCTCTTTCCAACCTGTTCCCCTGACTCGAACAGACTGTGAGGTTCGGTTTTGACGGACGTATGACTCAACCAATCAAAGACTAGAAAATTCTAAAGGGTCGGCCTTAGGCTGCATTCAAGTACTCTGAAAAATATTACATTTAAAACCCGTAGACAAGACGAGTTATTGGAGACAAGCGATTTTTTTATCATTAGTCGCAATTACATGTAAAATGCTAAACGGAATACATTTTTCAGCGAGGTTTATTAATATGTTGTATTTCTCCTTCATGTTTATTCGCTAAATCTTGTTTCAAATTGCCTACAACTGAGGTTGGCTAATTTTCAGAATTTCCTGAAGATGTTGAACTCAACCTGTACTGCTGTCGTAGTGACACATGATTTTCAAAACACTGAGCAATAGCAATGGCTGCTCGGTCACAAGTGTTTTATAATGTGATTTGCCCCTTTTCTTTAGGTCTTTATGATAACTATACACAGGTACAAATTACTAACGAAGCCAACCATATACTTATATATTTACTCATATATTAACCGCTTTCTACATAAAACTAGGTGTAAAATCCCCAATGCTTTTATCCATCACAGATCTCTGGGAAACAGAGGTTCAAAGACTACCCAATAAAGGTGTGTGCTCTTGGACCGGCCACTTGAGGGCACTCTGTTTTTATGGAAGCTTCACACGAACACTCCCAGCTCCAGCACATGCTACATGAAGTGACTTTCAAGCTTTAAATAAACACGATTTCATGATGTAAAACAGTCCTGCTGCCTAATTAGAATGACTACATTTCCCCCCTATAATTTAACCCTTATTCATGTGACCCAGACAGGTAGATGAGTACAGACAAATCAAATGTAGTTTGAAGATATTTATTTCAGTGGAAAAAAACTCTTGTTTTTCTCCCTTTTTCTCATTCTTTGTTGTGAATGTGAATTTCACTAAAGTGTCAAGTGAAAAGTGTCAACACGTGCTCAAAGATATAACAAGAAAGGCATGAGTGGCTCATGAGTGTCCAGTGTACATATATTGAATCCACTTCTGAAAGCCTCTGCACTTAGCAATAACAGGAGATGTGCAAATAGAAACAGGGGGAGGGGCTGCAGGTAAGCACTCTCTAAGTAAGCTTCTATGCAGCAGGCATTAGCATTAACACGCCTCTGGGGTAGTGTGGTTCTTTTGCATTGACAGAGGCATATTTATAAATACTCTACCGGTACCATACGGGCTACTCTTTAGAGTTCTTACATAACTCGCTGGTTATGTGGAGGAGGAAGAGAGCAGCATCCAAGTACTGCTCACTGCCCACACACACACACACACACACACACACACACACACACACACACACACACACACACACACACACACACACACAATGGAGAAAAAAGTGAAATAAAAACCGTGGAGGAGGGTGGAGAGGGAAAGAAAACATTAGATTTTGCAGTTGGAAGTCAGGGTCAAATTCTGCAGTGTGTGTGCTCTCTAATTGTCTTCATGATCGCAGCACATGCTGCATGTGTACGAGTGATTATCCCAAAGATCACAATGATTTTTGGCAACACAAGTTTTAACACAAACAGGCCTGATCTTATAGAGAAGCCTCGGATAGAAAGTAACAGTACAATTAGCCAAGTACTGAATTACAGCTTCCCTGTGCTTCTAATTTGTTCAAGTATTTCTCTGTTTCTGCTGCTTCCCATTTCAGCACCACTGTACTTTGGATGACAACACCATTGTTTGAAGGCTATATGTGCGGCTAACAGATGTTGTTAAAGACAAAACTACCCAGCAGCATATTAGTAATCAAAATAACTCCCACCTATAATATCAAATTGATGTACATGTTAATAAATCAAATGTTATGATCCATTAAACTTCATGCGCTTGATTCTGCATAATTGAAGTGCATGTCAAAGCTAAAACATTTCAAAGTACAAGTACTACTTCTACTTAAAGGGTGTAAATACCCATTTCTGTACTTTGCAAAGCAGTTAGGCTGCTCAGTGCAAAGCCTATTTCATGTCCATCCATCCATCCATTTACTTCCGCTTATCCTTTTCAGGGTCACGGGGGGCGCTGGAGCCTATCCCAGCTGTCATAGGGCACACCCTGGACAGGTCGCCAGTCTGTCGCAGGGCCAACACATAGGGACAGACAACCATTCGCACTCACATTCACTCGCACATTCACACCTAGTGACAATTTGGATTATCCAGTTAACCTATCCCCACAAGCTGCATGTCTTTGGACGGTGAATTTCATGTCATATTTCATATATTTGTATGAGGAAAGAAGGAGCTGAAAAATTGTGCCCAGTGTTTTTGTTCACCACATTTACTTCTGATCAAAGAATCTGAATTCCCGTGCCACCCCAATGAAATCAATAAGTTCTAATCAATAAGTAATTTTAATTAAATTAACTTCAGTGGTGTGCACAGTTTTGGGTCGGTCAGCCTCAGAGCAAGACAGTCATGTAGGCGTGAATGTGAGCATAAAAAGTTGTCTTCTCTCTGTGTTGGCCGTCTATCCAGGGTGTAGCTGCCTCCTGACAGCTCGGACAGGCTCCGCCCCCCGATGCTGATTTGGATAAGCAGAAGAATATGAATGGATGGATGGATGAATGGATGGATGGATGGATGAATGAATGAATGAATGAATGAATGAATGAATGAATGAATGGATGGATGGATGGATGGATGGATGGAAGATCCTCTAAGCTAAACTAACTTGCTGGAGGTAGTAAAATCATATTTGTAGTATTTGAGCTAATGCTCATAATGACAACGGTTAGCAGATCTTTACAATCTTACTCCTGCTTTTAACATGTGAGCCATTGTTTAAAAAGCATCAATGTGAGACACTTATGGCTTTGTAGTAAAAATATAACTGCTTTGGTGGCTTTTCTGAAATTCTTTCACCTGTGAGATATTTAAAAAACTATTTTCTTTATTAAAAGTAGAGGTAGGTTTGTGTGAATGTCTTCTAGCTATCCTTGTCATTTATTGGTCTGCTACTTGTCCCAAACGTTGGTCCCCTTTTGTTGGCATTCCTACAAAAATGTCGGGAAGTTCATCCAAGGTTAGCCTCAGCCCACTGAATTCACTAAATTAAGCAATATCTTCTTACTGTGTGTTTTTTTTTTAGAGAAATTATGTAAGATACTCATGTGACTTGACAAACTCAGACTAGTGAAGCCCCACGTAGCACCAGATTATTGTCCAGATTTTTGCACTGAACAAGAACTGTGGGCTTTGTCTTTGATGAGATCTCCAATGAGCAGTAATGCCAAACATCAGCTGCATATGAAGCGCCTTGAGGCGACTTATGTTGTGATTTGGCGCTATATAAATAAAATTGAATTGAATTGAATTGAATTTGTGGTTTTGGTGCTGATTAGAAATTTCTCGCATTTTAGCATTTGGTTAATATTACTCTTGGCATTAGCTGAAAGCACGTGTATGTATTTTCCTCTAAGTTTAAATAGTTGTTCATAAGATCACAAACACACGCCTATATCTTGATTTTATAAAAGTGTATTTATACATATTATTAACATTAAAAAACATCTGAATTAAAAGACTTGAGCAGTGTGTGACTTAGTTACCTATCGATATTTACACAACGATTAAAAATATTAATGGAAAAAAGATAAAGGTGAAAATGAAGCGATGGCCAAACATTCAGAGATTCTCATAGATGCTAATCTGAAGGTGCTGCTGAGCACCTGCTCAACTTGCCTGTTTTAGTCGTGATACATGGTCAGAGCTGCCATCCCCTCTGACCATGTATCATTCCATCATCATCACAGTTTTTCTTGCTAACGTACTAAACAAGTTATCAATAACTTTTTCACACTCCATCTTCTCTAAACCACACATAGCGGTTAGCAAGAGGAAACTTATTTATTATGATGATAAATCACAGAAGCTTGTTTGCCTGCTAATGTTAGCTGTGCTTACACACAAAGTGCAGACTGTAAGTCGTCTCAGAGCAGTGAAAGTAGAGACAGCAGCAACAAGCTGGTCTCCCATCAGTTTACCATGAAAGAGCAGTTGCTTATTCACAATGTGCAAACCACCAGAAAGAAGTGTCTAGCTTCTCAGCTTGATCAGCTCAAGTAACGGGAAATGGACGTGCGGGTAAAATGGAGACAACTTAAGTTTCCTATGAGCACAAAACAAGTGGAGCTTTCAGCAACAATAACTCACTCCAGTCACAAGATGGCAGAAAAGTAATCAGCTAGGAGCTTTATGACCGCTATGTCTATTTTTGGATTTGACAAGGTAAGCACTGATTGCCTTGCTTGCCCTGATGGAATGCCATTGGGTGGCTATATGGGTGGGGGTTTAATTTCCTCAAAAAATGTTTTATGTAACACAATATAGTGGGTTAAATGAACAAAGTGCTGATCCTAGTAGTGTTTATCCAATACCAATGCCAAGTTTATTAGTGATACTTGCCTTGCCTTGAGGCCTTAAACATCTATGTAAAAAAGAAGGTAAGTTTTAATACAAATCTGAAATTGTTTGTGTCGTGCAGCTTTGAATCCAGTCTAACTCTTAGGCTAGAATGCAGGTGTGTAGTCTGATAAGACTTCATCGCGCCAATAAGCAGAAAGGCGTGGCACACCTCCACTCTCTCTGTGTCTTCCTCAATAAATCTCTGCAGCCTCTGCCACAGAAACAGAGACGAGGAGGAGGCGGGAGAGCACCGCGCTCCTGGTCCGCCCACAACTTTCAGCACGAGCCATTTAGCAGTGCGAGCTGGCCCAGCTGTAGAGCGCGCGGGCACGTGCACGTTCCCCCCTTCACTACCTCTGCACACCCCTACCTACCCACCCACCCCACTCGGAGAAAATCATTACCAAATAGCGAGCGCGAGCGCACGCGGAGCTGTGGCTGCAGCCGCGTCACCGCTGGGCTGCGTTTACGACGTAAAGCACACGAGCGGCACATCCTCGGCAGATACGAACAGGCGCGCACCCGCCTTCAAACGCACAACCATTTACGCGCAGTGTGTCTGAGCCTGCGAGGCTTCTCCGTTTGACTC